TTATAGACGAGCTGAAAGCTTGGCTGGGAGTCTTTATAGACGACCTGAATTGTTGGATTTTTTATAGACATATTAAAGAACAGCTGAGGAAATGGAGTTCTTACAAACTATATGAAGGGCACGGAGCCTTTATAGACTACCAGGGAATCTCAAACAGACAGGGAGGCCGTTCATACAATCTGAAGTTCAGGGAGTCTTTATAGTCAATTTGAAGGGCTCAGAGTTTATGTCGAAGAGTAACTTCTGGTGATGTGTCAAATGTGGACCACACCCCATATCTAAGTATAAATGTTTTCGCAATTGGTGAAAACAAACATGATGTAGACAGAAAGTCTTGAATAGACGAGCTGAAGAGCATGGAGTTCGTTTAGATGATCTGAAAGGCTGGGAGTTTTGATAGTCGAGCTGAAGGACAGGGAGTCCATAGAAGCGATTTGAAGGGCAGAGAGCAATCTTTTTATATATATAATTTTTGACAAGCTAAAGGACAATTTGTTTTTATTTTTTACCTTTGTTACGCCCACAATATAAAAAAAGGAAAATGGTGGTCCACATTACCCGAAGTTACTCTATGGTCTGGAAGTCTATAGAGATTAGGTGAAATTCAGGAAGTCTTTTATAGATGAACTGTAGGAAGGGAATGCATTGATTAATGTCTGAATGGCACTGGTATTTTAGATCATATCTGAACGGCGGGTTGTATTAATTGGAAACATGAGCGTTTGTGTGACTCCCTATAAAGTTGACGGGTAGGTATTTTTTATATACAACCTGTATAAATTTCGTGAAACTTCCTTTAGTCTCTTTAGGCTACCTAAAAAAGGTATGAGAATTTTTAAAAGCGAGGTGAAAGAAATCGATAATGTAGAGCTTAAAAGATTTTTTATTTGTGATATTAAAGGATTCTTCGTAAACGAGTTATTGGCGTGCTGAATAAAATGTATCGTCAGAGATTTGTGCTGAGGTTGGGAGAGGTGTTGTGGACGTATTGGAGTGGGTTGTCTCTATAAGTGACCAGATTTTCAACTGCAAAGTGTCCTTCATAAACATTTTCTTTAATTTGCTTCCTTCCTATTTGCATTTTCTCCAAAAATATAAAAAAAATCGATTCAAAAATATGCCATCTGTTTGGAAAATTCGGTTTATGTGTTATGAAATCACTATGTTTTGCGGAAAACCCATTTCCACTACAATGTCTCGCACATTATAAGATCTGTTAATTTACATTTCGTTTTTCAAGTTTTTTACCACCCCAGCGAAACATTGCCAATGAAGATCTATTGAACTTGTCCATCGAACGAACGAAAGAAAGAAAGAAATTAACGACGAAACCCAAATAACCTACAAACCACATTTATCTTGAAATTCCCGTCTCGGTTACCAAATGCGTTTGTAAGACACCGAACATGCGAAGTAATAAATGTCGCGATATGGAGCTGCTTTTCTTGCAACATGCGAATGCAAATTTGTCAAAAGTTGTTACAAAATCTGTGGTACGTGTATGAAGAAAAAAATACAAGAGAGTCTATTTGTGAAATTATGTCTTTGGAATGAACGAATGAGTGGAGCGGATGAATGGCTGTCCATAAGCTCGTGTTTTATTTGGAGCGTTAAGAAATACATACATTGTTTCTTTCATTTGTCAGTGAATTATTTTGTCATTATGTTGACCTTTTTGTAAAAATGAGTTGACACGACAGTCGCACATAAATTATTTGCTTTTACAAATTGAAAAAAGAAAATCAGTTTAGGAAATTTCTTTCTTTTGTTACAAATTACAAGAAAAAAATAACAATAATTGCCAAAATTTTAATAAAGGAAAAATTGGCATAATCGTTGTAGTCATGGTTTGTTTTATAGTTTACAGCAACGCCTGCAGTTATCTGATTGGGCAGTCATTTGCTCCAGTATTTTAAAATGATGGAATTTTTATGCGTTTCCGTTGATTTTGCCAATTTGCCTCCAAGAAGCTGTTGTGTGGAAAATAATTACCGGTTGAATAACCAGCTTTGGGAATAATTTTTTCCACAAAATTATATTTTATTTTTTCCAACTAATTAATGCGAATCTATCTGGTTTACAAGATAAGAAATATTTACTTAGTTAGTTGGCTTATGACAGAACTGTTGTTCCATATGTCGATCTTAAAAAAAGATTTCCAGGCGCGTCGGTCTGGAGAGATGTGGCCTTGCTTTTGAGTTGCTTAGCATCTGTTGGCCAACATTATTCTCCTCCTGATTTTACAGCTGATGTTATTAGTTTTGTTTATGGCGGTACAGATCGCTCACTACCTCGAATGTGTAGTTGTCAAGTTACAAGTTACACCGAGTCTTTCTTTCGCGTTGATACCATCAGTTTGGTCTGCTCGCCACTTTGGCAGACTACTTCTTCATTATGTCAATGCTGTTTAGTGTACAGGGTGTCATTTCTGTTACACGACAAACTGTCACCTTTTCTAAATCCTCGTTCGATATTGAAGGGCTCCGAGAGGTCCCTTCCGACTTTAACTGCTGACCTTGTGCCAGTAAAAGTTATCCTGCACAGCCGTATTAATTTTGCAGGAATATCGGACTTTGGCTTTGTAGTCGACGAATAGGTGAAATGTGTCGATATGTTTTGCGTGGGTATTTTCCAGGATTTGGCGCAGAGTTAAAATCTGGTCAATGCACTATGGGTAAAAAGTATGATTTTTGGGCATAAAGTCAATTTTTTTTTTTTGTTTTCATATTTTGAAATGTAACTGATTTCCTAAATGTAGATACCTATATTAGAAAAAAACATTTAATATCAACATTGCTGGCGAGCTTTAAAAGTCAGCAGTTTGACAGTCACCTTTTTGGTACAACTGGCGGTATAAATCAGCTAAGTTCGAGTGCTTGTAATTTGACAAAATTGAAAAAAATTAAAATGAGTAATTATGGAAAACGTTAGTGCAGGTATGTACAATTAAGACGAGATGCCCTTTTTGCCAAATTTGTCTGTTGTTGTAATACTGTGAAATGTTTTGTTTATGTATAACTTTATATAAAATCTATAAATTGTAATTTTGTTCCGTGGAGTGTAACTTGTGAATGGCAAAGTATTGCAAAAAGGTGTAAATGCCAAGTTATTAACAAAAGTGTGTTAAATAATGAATAATTAGTCTTTTTTGTTCTATTTTGTGCCAACACGTGTTTTTTACTGATAAACATGTGTTTGCCCATGCTGCGCTTATTGAAATTTGGAGCAGCATTCAACATTCAAAATGGCTTAGCAAAAGCATAATTATAGTAATAATAGGTTGCCCAAAATTAAATTATGAACATGCTGGACCTAGGCTAAAAAGGAAATTAGCCTCCGAAGTTGCTTCACAAAATAAACATGCAACGCCGTTGGTAGTTCATGCTGCTACGGTTTCAGCCAAAATATCCAACGACAGAGACATGGCCTTTATTTTGAATAAAGCAGAAGTAAGGAATAACCATTTTGCTATATGCAGCTATATGAGATAGTGTCCCAAATCATATGAAAATTGGGATGTCATTTTGGGAGCATAAAAATGTATACAAACCAAATTTAAATTCAATAGCTTTAAAATTAGAGTTTATGCCAAAATAAACGTAAAAAACCATAGTGCAATGGTGGACTTGCCAGGCTTGAAGCAGCATTGGTATGGTCCAATAATATCATTGACCATTGGCTTCAGTCGTTAACACAATACGCTGGATAGCACTTTATATGCGATGGGAAAGAGACTTATTCCTCTATAGTTGGCACATATCGTCTTGCCTCCTTTTTTGTGCACGGGACACAGAATACTGAAGTTCGCATCATTGAGCAAACATTCCTTTAGCCAAATTTTAGTAATCAGTTGGTAAATGCTTCTGACCAGAATCTGACCACTAGTCTTGAATAGTTCGGCTGGTAACCCATCGAAATCTGCTGTTTTATTGTTCTTCAGCTGATTGAATGATATTCTGAAAATTCCGAACTTCATTCCGACTCCTGTATATATCGATTTGCTGACGCTCACGTTTTTCTTGTTGTTTCTTCATTCCTTTGAAAATACGTTTGCCAATTTCTCCCGATAATTCTCTCTCGCATTATTTGTTGCTACTGTTTGCAGGGTTGTCCTATACCTTGCTCTTCAGTTTGTCTAAAAAGACTCCCTGCAATTTGGCTCTTTCATAAAGATTCCCTGCCCTACAAATCGTAAATGAGGATTCCTGCCATTTGGCTCGCCTTCTATAAAAAGGCATTTCCTTCAGTTCGTCTAAAAGGCTCCCTCCATCTTGTCGATAAGGACACCCTTCCCTGCCCTTCAGCTGTTTTATAAAAAATCCCTTCAGCCAGTCTATAGAGACTGCCTTCAGCTCATCTATAAAGACCTATATATATAAAGACTCCATTTAAAACTCGTCTATAAAGACACCCTTCAGAGCTGGTCTATAAAAAGACTCCCGTAACAACTCGTCTATAAATGCTCCCTTAAGAAGTCGTTTATAAACACTCCCATCAGCTCTTCTACAAAGACTCCCTTCAGAGCTCGTCTATAAAGACTCTCTTCAGAGAAAGACTTTTTTATAAACAACATTTTTAGCTCCAAAAGAAAAATATCATATTTTGTGGATTTTATTTAAAAATTTTATTGTTATTGTTTAGGCCTATCAAACAAATTATAATTCCAGAAAAATGTAAATAACCCCCAGCAAAAATTGATTTGTTTGTTATATTTTAGCTAATAAAAAGATATATTAAAACGTGTCATATTTTCAGAACACATTGCAAAGCTATGAAATGTTTCCCAATAGCTGTCGGAATGGAGAACATCTTTTGATCAATGAGGGCAATGCATTTTGACCGCATTGCTTCGCCATACATTTCTTTTTCAACCAGTATTGAAATAATTCATTTACATATAAATTAATTAACATTTAAACTTGATTCTATTAAACAATACGCACGCACACACACATCGGCATACATATACAATTGTCATGTGTGAGGTGACTTTGCAAATAAATAGAAAGTAAAAAAGAAAACGAAAAAATAACATTTAGAAGACCTCATTGGGATCGTAATTTTGACTTTCAATTTTTTGGCGAGCCTTTGCCAATTTTGCTGATAATTCCGATGAACGCACAGTTTTAAACTGTAATAAAAAATTGGAAAATTAATTAAATTTTAATATGAACATATTTGAACTCCGATTTTCTTACTTCGCAAATATTTTTCTGCAATACAATTTGTGATATCAAACGACGACTTTCCTTCTGACCGAAATATCCTTCAATAATGTGCGGTGGCAGAGCAAACAATTCCTCACCGTTTAGGCCACGCAATTTCTTAACAATAACATCGGAAAAGCCTTTGCCCCTTAGCCATTCTTCAACCTCTTTGGGTGGCGATTTTTGATTGATATAAATCTGTGGGGTCTTCAGAATTTCCAAATCACGTCTTCGCTCCCTTTGCTGCAGGGTGTATTTCAATTCATCATTTATGGTACTTTGCAGCATCAGAGCCTCACTACTTTCATCGAATTCGGTGCGAGCACGCATTGCTAAAAATGATTTTTGTTTTTAATTTTTTCGAGAGGAAGGGTAGTGAAAGTAGACTTACCTGCAATATTACCATTCAGAGCCATATTCCGCTTCAGTGTTCCCGATGGTGTTTCATCACTATCTGGTGGTGGCAATGGTGGGGGAATGGGTACATTGGGCATACTTATCGACCGGGGTATAGAGTTTCTAGAGGCTCTTTGCAGTTGAGCAGCTTGCAATTCTTGTTCCGTTGGAGGTATGAAGGTGGTCAAGGTTTTGCGATTGTTGACATTACGCTGGATGGGTTGATCTGCAAGTAAGATAAAGAAATAAAATATTTTTTATATGAGACCGATATCTTTTGAGGACCTTTGTATATAGAATTTTTATGGAATATTTTTCAAGCATACAAAGAGGGGTGGCTTTTCTGTAAGAATATTTTTTAAGGACTATTACATGCGTGGATTTTTTAAAGAATATTTTTCAAGGCCTACTAGAGGCGTGGATTTTTTAACGAATATTTTTTAAGGTATATTAGAGGCGTGGATTTTTTTAAAGAATATTTTTTCAAGGCCTACTAGAGGCGTGGTTTTTTTAAAGAATATTTTTCAAGGCCTACTAGAGGATTTTTTAAAGAATATTTCTCCAGGGACTATTAAAAGGCGTGGATTTTTTAAAGAATATTTCTCCAAGGACTATTAAAAGGCGTGGATTTTTTAAAGAATATTTCTCCAAGGACTATTAAAAGGCGTGGATTTTTTAAAGAATATTCTCCAAGGACTATTAAAAGGCGTGGATTTTTTAAACAATATTTCTCCAAGGACTATTAAAAGGCGTGGATTTTTTAAACAATATTTCTCCAAGGACTATTAAAAGGCGTGGATTTTTTAAACAATATTTCTCCAAGGACTATTAAAAGGCGTGGATTTTTTAAACAATATTTCTCCAAGGACTATTAAAAGGCGTGGATTTTTTAAACAATATTTCTCCAAGGACTATTAAAAGGCGTGGTTTTTTTAAAGAATATTTCTCCAAGGACTATTAAAAGGCGTGGATTTTTTAAAGAATATTCTCCAAGGACTATTAAAAGGCGTGGATTTTTTAAACAATATTTCTCCAAGGACTATTAAAAGGCGTGGATTTTTTAAACAATATTTCTCCAAGGACTATTAAAAGGCGTGGATTTTTTAAACAATATTTCTCCAATGACTATTAAAAGGCGTGGATTTTTTAAAGAATATTTCTCCAAGGACTATTAAAAGGCGTGGATTTTTTAAAGAATATTCTCCAAGGACTATTAAAAGGCGTGGATTTTTTAAACAATATTTCTCCAAGGACTATTAAAAGGCGTGGATTTTTTAAACAATATTTCTCCAATGACTATTAAAAGGCGTGGATTTTTTAAACAATATTTCTCCAAGGACTATTAAAAGGCGTGGATTTTTTAAACAATATTTCTCCAAGGACTATTAAAAGGCGTGGATTTTTTAAAGAATATTTCTCCAAGGACTATTAAAAGGCGTGGATTTTTTAAAGAATATTTCTCCAAGGACTATTAAAAGGCGTGGATTTTTTAAAGAATATTTCTCCAAGGGCTATTAAAAGGCGTGGATTTTTTAAAGAATATTTCTCCAAGGGCTATTAAAAGGCGTGGATTTTTTAAAGAAATGTCTTGCGATCTCCAAGGACTATTAAAAGGCGTGGATTTTTTAAAGAAATGTCTTGCGATCTCCAAGGACTATTAAAAGGCGCGGATTTTTAAAGAAACGAACAACTTAATAGTATTTCCTAAAATGACTGCTTTCAAATCGTCTGTAGGATTCACTGGTCTTCAGCTCTTCTCAGGGTATTAAGACTGTCTGACCTCCAGCTCAGTCAGTAAGGACTCCCCGCTATGAGTTTTTCTATAAAAGCTGCATGTCCTTCAGTTGGTCCATAACGTCACCTTGGTCATCAGCTCGGACTTCATTCCCTTTAGCTCTTCTATTGAGGCTTTTATTCCTGCAGTTTATCTATAAAGACTCCCCGGTCTTCAGCTCGTCTATAAACACTTCCTAAACTTCATCTCTTCTATTAACCTTCCTTGACCATCAGCTCGTCTATGAAGAGGGATCCCTTCAGTCTATAAAATAATCTCTGTCATTTAGATCGTCTATAGAGAGACCCTGACCTGCTCTTCAACTTGTCTATAAAGTCGTCTTGACCTTCAGCTCGTCTATTAAGACTCCTTGGCCATCAGTTCGTCTATAAAGGCTTCTTCACCTTCAACTCGATCTTTGGCACGTTTATAAGGGAAGGGATCTCTTCAGATCGTCTATGAAAGATCTCTGTCCTTCAGATTGTCGGTAGAGACTCGCTGAGCATCAGCTGATCTATAAGAACACCCTGCTCTTCAGCTTGTCTATAAAGTCTTCTGGATCTTCAGCTCGTCTCTTAAGACTCCTTGGCCATTAGTTCATCTATAAAGGCTTCCTCACCTTCGACTCCCTGATCTTTAGCACGTCTATAAGGGCATGGATCCATTCAGATCGTCTATAAAAATCTCTGACCTTCAAATCGTCTGTAGAGACTCCCTGACCCACAGCTGGTCTATAAGACTGTCTGAAAGGCTCCTTTTAACTTGCCATTAAAGCTTCCCCTCTTCAGCCATTTCTTAATGTCGCCTTTAAAATCTGCCTTCTGTTCGTCAATATTTCCTCCCATAGACTCCCAGTTCGTCTATAAATCTCCCTTCCTCTATATTTTGTTTTTGTTTTTTTTTTTTTTTTTTTTTTTTGACTCATTTCACTCACCATTATTGTCTATAGTCGATGAACCAATAGAATCTGTATCCTTGCCAGAATAATTTGAGTTCTGATCAAAATTAACCGGAGCCAAGAGAGTGTGGGGTACATAGCCAATATTACCGGAGGCATTGCGAGCCTTCCACCAATTACGTGAGTCATCAATGATCTAAGGAGAAACAAAACAGAATATAATTAACTTCGACACAGAAAAATCAAACCATCCAATTGGACCCACCTCAAGATATTCACCCTTGGTGACATCCAATTCCCGATCATTGTTCGCCACCTTGTTGTACATGACTTCGGCAATTTTGACATTTCTTGTTTTCAAACGCACCAACCAGGTGTTGTTGTAATTTTTATTACCCGGTGATCCTGGTACCGACTGCTGCTGTTCTACAGATTTCTTTGTTGGTGGTGGAATATATTTTACCTCTTCATCTACTACCCAATCGGGTGACCATTCATCATAGAATTTCGGATGATAGGAACCCTTGTGATCTTTAAAATGTTCCTTGGCTTGTAGCCAATTTATGCCCAACGTTTGCCAAAATTTCATTTCTTCTTCGCTGAGGCATGTCTTGAGGAAGGCAATTGTATCGGCACGTAGCAGGGGATCTACGACACCTTCAGCTACTGCAGCACCAACATAAACATCATTACACACCCCATAGATGGCTTGCAGCGATACAAACGAGTTGTGGATGGGTTCGGCTGGATCTTGGAAGTGGTTTTTCAACTTCAGCACATAGTTGAAGGCGAGTTTGTGTTTGGCAAAAATATCTCGGAATTCTTTTTCAGTTGGTGGACGAGAACGATTCAATAGCAGGCCTTCGCCATGTGAGCTATGTTCGTATTTACGCACCTCCAGCTCACGCAATGCCTCGGCAGCGAATTGGAGACGGGTAACAAAACGTTCTATGTCTTCGAAACAGTGATTCAAGACTTGTATATCTTTGTTGGTTTGTTCTTGGTCTTGAACGGTTTGAGCGGTGGCAGCTTCGGCGGCAGCCACAGCCAAGCCATATTGGTCTTTACTTTGGTGCATGGGGCGATCCGATTTGGGCACAACAATGGGAGTCTTGTTGCGATCGATGGTCACCACTTTGCCACTGGACAATTGTTTGAGATCTTCAACCAAGTGGACGGCAGAGACATCGCTAACCTGTTGAAAATAAAAAAACAATAGCAACAATTGTATCATTAAAAAATCTCTCATATTTGCCCTCCCTCTGTCGCCCCTACACTCACCTGAAAAATATGCATTTCTGTATTACCCAATGAAATGCCAGGCACTGTGAATACCAATAAATTATTATATATCTCCATGGGATCTTCACTTATGAAAGCAGTCGGTTCGGTAATTAAAGATCCGGGGAAATTTTCAATTTCCTTCATATTACTATCCAACATCACCAGCCATTGGCCACTGAAGCACATATACATTTTCATGGGCCAAACACCGCCCACTTTATCCAATTCCATCAACGTCTTCAATTTATCCTTTGGCCTCGTCACCTCAGCATCACTTTTCAGCTTGAACGTACCCAAATGATCCAGAGCATAGGTGGGTTTGTTCTCTGTGGCGAGATGACCATTTGGTACACCACCATTGCCATTTGTATAGCCGTTTTGCACCATAATTGATAATTAATACATTCACTGTGAAAAGGAAAATGATTTAAATTATTATGAATCAAATAGGGAAAATGTTTATTTAAAAAAATAGAATAGATTTTTGATAAGCAATTAAATCACAAAATTATTTTTAGTCATTCTAGCGACATTCTTGGTTTGCTGACGTTCACAGTATTTCAGTTTTCCAATTCATTCGTAAATTTTAATCGCTCGCTACGATAACATTTTTTTCTTACTTTTCCTACATTCGATCGTAAACCACTAACATTTTTATAGAATTTTACGTTGACTTTTTTTTGTATGGTTATTAGTGTGTACCGATTTCCTCAGCAATTTTAATTATATACAATATATAAATTTTATATATAAATGTGTTACATGCTTCAACAACATCGTGTCTTTATTGAAATGATCCATGAAATGTAGAAAAATTATCCGGAGTTTCATCGGTAACTCATCTTGACTGATTATGTCCATTTCCACTTCAACAGATGCATTAGGTACCACAATTATCGTATCTGGGGCTCTGAAGCCCCAAAGTTGTTATTGGGAGCCTCTTTATCCTCTACAGTTTGACTTTTTGGTGCAATTTATGGTCCGCCAGGATCATTGGACCTTCTTTTTCGGAAATGAGGTTGTATCAAGAATTACGGAGATTGCATTGCGCTGTCGAAATGATAGTTGATTTTTGATGGTGGAAGTTTAATGTCTTTGATTAGTACAACTCACAAACTCAAGCCTGCGGATCACCAACAACATTGCGACTTTGTTAATAAGATCCTTCAAATACATGGAATATGGGAGATTTACAACTCGGAAAAATCCACTAGAAAGAAAGCTCTCTCGAAGGTAATAACCAATTACATTCATACTTTGCACATTATAATATTTCTTCCGAAGTTAGGTAAAGTTCGAAGATAAGAAATCGCTCAACTTTTTCTGATACCATCTCCAAAAAATTATCCTCATTTTGCCGAAAATTAATTTTAAAATATATTGCGAACGAAACATCTTTTTTATCGCACAACCTAATATTTAGCCATTACAATGTTTAAAAATGGGGCTTATCGGTCTACTGCTTCTAGTTTCACCCTCACAAAGGGTAAAATTTAGAAAATGTGTATATCTAGTATGAGCGAACGGGATATCTAATTTCATCTAAACTTATAATTTTAGCACACGTAGATCTAATTTGTAATTGCGGTTAATAGTTCACCACTTCTGGTGCCTTCCTCACAAAGTTTCAAAATTTTGAACATTTATAAATGCTATATCAATCGAATTGAATATCCAATTTCATATGAGCATCCATACATAGGTGGAGGATATATATCTACATAACTATGTTGTCAGGGTATTATAGATTTGTGCAGCACCAAGAATTGTTAACGCAGCGATAATTTGTAAACACGATACAGGCCACAGTTATGGACAAATCTTCACAAAATGTTGCATGTGGGACCGGTTCTGGCCTATTGTTTTTGGAAAAGATCGGTTAATGTTTAGGGGATGAAAAGGAACAAAAACAATATTTTTGTCTGTTTTTATGGTCGCTTCTATGGCAGCAATTATGGCTCGAACATTGTGAAATTTTTCATGAAGATGGGGATCGGGCCAAATAATAAGACTGTCTGTTTCGATAAAGATCGGTCAAGTTTAGTATTACTATTACCCTAATAGAGGGCGGAAATGTCGCGCGATCGGTTTCAAATTTTACATGAAGTTCAGTTTATGGTCACGAACGACGACTACAATTTTCGGTGATGCTGAATTAGGGTATTTAGGGGTTGCAATGAACCGAAAACTTGATTTTGTCTGATTTTTTAGTCGCTTAAGAGGCTATTTTATATGCAGAACATCACATATTTTACACGGTGAAGGGGATCTCACCAAATGCTTAGAACGGCTGTTTAGATGATGATCTGTCAATATTCCGGCTTTTTGTATTTTTAAAGATGTCTTTGTAATATTTCCATTCCGTTTGGTAAGTATTTCGTGTATAAAACTTTTAAATTTTTAAGGCAGTATTACACTGTGCTACAAAATAACAAAAAAAAATCTTTCAGGGGTTCTAATGTACCAATTCTGTTTATTTGTTGTCCCTGGACGACGAAAATGCCTTTGGTTTTTCTGGGTCACTTCGAAAATGTATTTTATAAAGGTAAATATAGAGAAAAACGTGGTTTCATGGATTTTCAATTTGAAACTCGAATAACTTCTTTTATTTCTAACGGATTTATTTTATTCTTTTTTCTTTCGAAGAGTAGAATTATTCCTTTGAAACAAGATATACATTTTTCTCATTTTCGAAAGCTTTTTTAATTTTCTTCCCCGTAATATAATAAAACTTATACGGCTTCATATCATAATTTCATCGTACGGTCCGAAGAAAAATAAATTCTACTCTTCGAAAGAAAAAAAGATAAATATAAATCAGTTAGAAATAAAAGAAGTTATTCGAGTTTCAAATAGAAAATCCATGAAACCAGTTTTTTCTCTATAGTTACCGTTATAAAATAAATTTTCGAAGTGCCCCAGAAAAACCAAAGGTATTTTCGTGGTCCAGGGACTCCATCTAAACATAATTGGTACATTAGAAACCCTGAAAAATTTTTGTGTCGCACAGTGTTATTAAAAAGTAGTTAATTACAATGTGCCTTCTTATAAAAATAACACTGTGCAACACAAAAAATAATTAACGGGAAATTCCAACAGATTATGAAAGCGGGGCTTATCAAAATTCTGGAAAAGGGGGAATATTGTCCCCCCTTTTTAGGTTACCTCCCGACGTAAACTTTCAAAACGCATTGTCTTTAAAACAATTATTTAATATCATTTAATATCATGTATAAAACCAAACGTGCTTGTACTGTCGAAAATGCGATAGAAAAAGCTATTTCTGATGGTGCATGTGACCCTGAGACGTCAACGTCCGCCGCTAGAAAATATAGCCCTAAAAGTCAAACATTGAGTCGCGTATTAAAACAAAATAAAATCTTTAGAGGATCTGAATTGCAGCCAGACTGATAGCGGTGATCAGTAGACCTCGGATTTTTGCATATTTTTTATGCTTTATCCGATTGGACTCAAATTTTGTATTTAGGCGTTTCATGCTTTAATTGATCGATATTTGGGGTCATGTCAAAAATATGCAAAATATATGCAAAAAATATGCAAAATATGCAAAAAAATATGCAAAAAATATGCAAAATATGCAAAAAATATGCAAAAAATATGCAAAATATGCAAAAATATGCAAAATATGCAAAAAATATGCACGGTATGCTAGGTCGGTATGCGATAAATATATGCAAAATATATGCAAAAAATATGCAAAATATGCAAAATATACAAAAATATGCAAAATATGCAAAAATATGCAAATATGCAAACATATGCAAAATATGCAAAATATGCAAAATATGCAAAAATATGCAAAATATGCAAAAATATGCAAAATATATGCAAAATATGCAAACATATGCAAAATATGCAAAAATATGCAAAATATATGCAAAATATGCAAACATATGCAAAATATGCAAAAATATGCAAAAATATGCAAAATATGCAAAAAATATGCACGGTATGCTAGGTCGGTATGCGATAAATATATGCAAAAAATATGCAAAATATACAAAAGTATGCAAAGTATGCAAAATATGCAAAAATATGCAAAATATACAAAAATATGCAAAATATGCAAAAATATGCAAAATATATGCAAAATATGCAAACATATGCAAAATATGCAAAAATATGCAAAATATGCAAAAATATGCAAAAATATGCAAAATATGCAAAAATATGCAAATATGCAAAATATCCAAAAATATGCAAAATATGCAAAATATATGCAAAATATGCAAATTATGCAAAAAATATGCACGGTATGCTAGGTCGTAATATTAAAGATAGAACTTTGAAATTTTGCACATATATTATTATTACTCCTAGGATGTTTGGTATTGGAAATGGGAAATGTTTTAGTATATCGCCATATAACGGTCATATATGTTTGCATGTTTTATACATAAATTTTTCATAATGCCCCAAAAGTCTAACCGTTGAACCTTGAAAAGCATACATACACAATTAGATTTCTATAGGTTAAAAATAAAGAAAGCACACAAATTCGAAAACTACCATGAAAATTTTTTTTGATTAAAATGATTGCATATGTGAAATATGTTGCTCATATTTGCACATATTTTTGCCTATATTTTTCATATTTTTTGCATATTTCTCGCATATCGACCTAGCATACCGTGCATATTTTTTTTGTATATTTTGCATATGTTTGCATATATTTTGCATATTTTTGCATATTTTGCATATGTTTGCATATATTTTGCATATATTTTGCATATATTTTGCATATTTTGCATATTTTTGCCTATTTTGCATATTTTTGCATATTTTGCATATGTTTGCATATTTTGCATATATTTTGCATATTTTGCATATGTTTGCATATTTTGCATAATTTGCATATGTTTGCATATTTTGCATATTTTTGCATATTTTGCATATGTTTGCATATTTTGCATATTTTTGCATATTTATTGCATATCGATCTAGCATACCGTGCATATTTCTTGCATATATTTTGCATATTTATCGCATATCGACCTAGCATACCGTGTATATTTTTTGCATATTTTGCATATTTTTGCATATTTTGCATATGTTTGCATATTTTGCATATATTTTGCATAATTTGCATATGTTTGCATATTTTGCATATGTTTGCATATTTTGCATATTTTGCATATATTTTGCATATTTTTGCATATTTATTGCATATCGATCTAGCATACCGTGCATATTTCTTGCATATATTTTGCATATTTATCGCATATCGTGCATATTTTTTGCATATTTTAGCATATATTTTGCCTATATTTTGCATATTTTATGCATATTTATTGCATATCGACCTAGCATATTTTGCATATTTTTTGCATATATTTTGCATATTTTTTGCATATTTTGCATATTTTTTGCATATTTTTTGCATATCTCGTGCATAT